AAAAAACCCTGCCATCTAATTGATTCCAACTCATAGTGAACCATAGGGTTTCCAAGGCTGTAAATCCTGGCAGTAGATTGCCTTATCTTCTTCCCTTAGAGCAGATGGTGGGATTGAACCGCCAACCTTCTGGTAGCAGCCAAATGCCTTAACCACTGCATCACCAGAGCTCCTTTCTGGTATCAGAGGTGCCTCCTGAAAACATCTCTAAGTTCCCCTCTAGTAGCGAGGATTGGCTTGGGCTGGTGTCTTCATTACCTAGTGCTTCTATAACAAAATCCACAAGTGGTTGGCGTTTACAGTTATTTTCTCACAGTTTAGGAGGCTGTTTGTTAGGTGCCATCAGGTCAGCTCCAACTCATAGCGAGCCGGTGTACGAAAAACAAAACACTTCCCAGGCCTGCACTAACCTCACAATCCTTGCTATACCTGAGCCCATCGTTGCAGCCGCTGTGTCAGTCCATCTCATTTAGGTCCTACCCCTATATTTCACAGCCCCTACACTTTACCAAGCATGATATTCTTCTCCAGGGAATGAATGGTCCCTTCTGACAACATGACCAAAGTAGGTGAGGCTTAGGATGTTGTTGTTGTTGTTAAGTTTGAATTTAGGGCGCTGAGTCTAGGGGAAGGCTGGCACTCCATCGGCTCTGGTGGAAGATCCTTGTCTCTCTTCAGCTCTGTTCCTTGGTACCTTTGCGATCTTCATGTGGTGTGGCATCTATGCTCGCTGCTACTGTGCCCAGTCTGCTCGTTTCTGTCTCAGAAGAGACTGATTTAAGACACACCCTACACTAGTACTCCTCCATGAACATAAAAAAACCCAGTCCCAAATGGGATTCCAACCACAGCTATAAAACCCACAGCCATCTAGTTAATTCCAAATCATAGTGACCCATAGTATTTCCAAGGCTGTAAATCTTTCTTTCTAAATTTGATTTCATTGTGGTGAAAACATAACACACCAAGACATTCAGCAACATAACAAGTAAGGTGGTAAATCTTTACAGAAGTAGATTGTCTCATGTTCCTCCCACATAGCAGCTGGTGGGTTTGAACTGCCAACATTCTGGTTAGCAGCCAAATGCCTTACCCACTGTGGGTTTAGAGGATAGGATTTACAACACATAGTTGGGTCGTGGTGATGGTGGGGGGACACAATTCAATCCGTAACAGTTGGGGAGGGAAATCTGAGAAGGTGCCACAGCCACAGCTGCAGTGTGTCATGGCTAAGTTGTAGCATCCTGAAAATATTTCTAACTCTCCAAACAGAGAGGCTGTACTGGCTCTGGCTGGCCATGTAGACTTTTTTTTTTTTTTTTTTTTTAAACTCTTTAGCTGCTGCGACTGACCTGCACTAGATAGGGAGGCTCATGGAAGGATGACTGGTTTGCCTATAATCCCACATAGACCCAGTTGTTGGTGGCTCTGCCTGAAAAGTTTCTAAATTCCATTCCAGAGGTTGGGACTGGGCTGGACCAAACAGGGGGGCCACAGAAGGACACCCACATAGCTACAAATGTCATATTTGTCTCCAGAAGACCCCTGCCAGAGTGGGAAGCAAGGCACAAGCCTGGGTCAGCTAGGAATGCCTGAGGAGGGAACGCTGGGCCTTGTTGCAGTCATATGTGGGGCTCAGTTGCCAGATGTACCTCTTAATATTTTCTTCTAAGTCTCCATCCAGGCGGCCCTGAGGCCCAAGGAAGGTTCTCTAGCTTAGTCATTGTCCTGTGTGCAATGGACTTGCTTCACGTACCTTCCAAATACTTTAAAGTCTCTGTCCAGAGAGGGAAATGAACAGAACTGACCATGGAAGTTTGGGGAAAGGAGGCCCTAGCTGGTTACCCATCCTCGGTTTGGCTGGGGTCACAGGAGGTGCCCACCCAATTGTTTCTAAACGCCCCTCCAGTAGAGGGATGAGACAGGGCTAGGAGTCCCCACCTTGGGCCTAGTTGTTTCATGTGTTTCCTTACAGTGTATCCAAGTCCCTCTCCAAAGGGAGGACACTGTCCTGAGTCAGACAAGGAAGCCAGTGGACGGTGCCATGGCCCAGGTACTGTCCCTTGTGCTCTTGGCCATTGGTAGAGCTTCTGAAAAGTTTCTATATTCTGTAGAGTCTGAGACTAGCTGGGGAGGTGGGAGGCATGGAGGCCCAAAAGTGGTGCCCTCAGCCTATTCTCTCCAGCATGGGGCCCTGTCACAGGAAGCACTCCCTGAAAATGTTTCTAAGTCCCACGCCTGTGGGAGATACTGGCATAGGCCAGCGTGGGAGGTTCAGGGAGGCTAACCCGTACCATTCCATGGTCTGATGAAAGGCCTGGTCCTGGCAAGTGTCCCTTGAAAACTTTCACATGCCCTGCTCTTAGTCTGGGACTAGCCCAGGCCAGACAAAGAGTCCAGGAGAAATTCTCTGGGTCCAGCCACAACCCATGTGGACCCACTTGTAGGAATGGACCTCCTAAACATTTCAGAGGGGAAAACAGCTCTGCCTCCTACTCCCGGCCCACTGGAGCTAGAGGCATTTCTTCACTCAGACAGCTGCTGGCTGCTGAGGCTGAGAAACCCCAAGGTTGACAAGTAAAAAGGCAGAGTCCCATTGTTACCACAGGGCATGCCATTGACTTAAGTCCATTGTAAGTCCCAAGGTTGGCAGAGCATAGCAGGCTGCTGAGCAACGACACGGCTACATGCAGGGTCCAAGCGTGGCATAGGCTAGAGACCATTCCCAAAGCTGCTTCTTATATATGGGAAGCAGACCACATACCCAAAGGCAGCTACTCAGCTGCTCACAGTAGATTCCACCATGGAGTTGATTAGCAGTCTCATCATAGGGAATACTACATCCAGCTGCCCAGCCACTCAACCAGGCCCAGCCAAGTTGACACAAAAACATAATCACCACATCTCCCCTAAAGGGGATCAGGCCCAGGCCAACCAGGTAGACCTAGAAAGCTACTCCAGGTGCACCGAATGACCCACTTAGGGCCTGGTCATTGGATGGGCTCCATGGAAACATCTCTAAGTTTCCCTGTGAAAGTCACGACCAGCCTGGCCAGCCTTGGCAGCTGTGATCCTGCTTAGGGCCCTGCCTCTGGAGGTGCTCTTTAAGAAGATACTTAAGCCCCCACATTGGTGGGTACTGGTCAGGGCCAGGAAGTGAGCCAAGGAAGGGCATCCTGGACATGCCATGTTTCTGAGTTTGCATCGATGGTC